GTTTCCGTGTGTACTCGTTTAACAGGTGATCCGCTCTGGATATGTTTCAATTCCCCAAGATAGTATGAGAAAGTGTCTTTGATCGTGTTGTGTGACAATGTCCCGATAGTGATGATAACTCGTTGGATTCAATCGTGGATACATGCTGTGCACAGGATTGTTCGATGGAGATCTTTAGCAGCTGCCATCGAGTTCGGAAGATCCCATGATAAGATTCCCAGCGGGAAATGTTGAGTCATAGGATTTCGTTCTCTTGATATCCCAACCCAATAAGATCACATCGTAGAAAAATGTGAGCACCTAGATATATAGCACCACAAAACCAAGTATCATGCCGAGCTAAGCCAGAGGTCAACCAGAATTGATGCTGACAGTAGAACCACGGATCAGATCAGAACCGTCAACGACCAGCAGTCAACGAACTACTGCCAATCCATGACCCTTAGAGAACAGATACCACCAAGCAGGGGCAAAATGGGAGGTTGATCAATAAACGAGAACCAAAAAATCACAAACTGAGAAGATGCCGAAACCAACAATGTTTGCATGAAGATAATACAACCATCTGTGACTTGCAGACGGTTAGATTCGATGCGAAAACACATATGTGGCTATATGGCACTAGCGTCCACACATCAAAGCAGCGCGCAAACACAATGCACGAGTGACTATTTGTTTCGACGTTGCGCTTAAAAACTTCTGGGTGTTCTCGAGGGCGATTCTGCGAGTTACACAGGAGGGTTGATGGCGAGAAAAGCGGGACAGCAATGCCTCCAGTATGTGGACGGTGTCAAGTGCGATCCTATAGGACTATTATCCTAAAACATACGGCAGCTATTCTTCGTTTCAAAAAGTGGTCCGACAGTTCGGTCCTTCACGGCAAGGCAATGGATCCCAGCAATCCTCCAGTTCTAAGTACTCGATCATGGTATCGAAGACCTTTCGGAAGTCATCTTCGTCCTAGAAGAAATCAATTTTACTCAGAGAGCAACCACGTCGTGCCAAAGTATGCCTCAAGACTTTGATCATTCTCCAATTGTGATCTTGCCATTGTTGTATGGAGCACACCATTTAAAGGGTATTTGCTTTACGTGAGATCAATTTCACAAGGAGGACAACTTATAGTTGCCAACCATGGGAGCTCCATATACGTCATCGTACAGTCATTCACGCAGGCATCCAATATAATCTGATCACCTTCGTCAACGCGACTGCAAAGTGCGAATCAATTCCGCGCTCGGTAGGGCAGAATTTGTCCGAAGGCAACTACACCACTGAGTGGTGACCACTCCATGACTCCAGTGCGACATGACGTATTAGAATACACTTCAACCTACAGTGAGTGACAGATTGCCACTGGAAAGATACCCCATGTCTAATTTGCTTGTACCAACACGGTGGCTTAGCTGTACGCATAGCTGCCCCTCACCAAGGAATGACCGTGTCAAGACTAACCTGCGATGGCATAGCTGCCCCTCACCAAGGAATGATCGTGTCAAGACTAATCTGGGGTGGCATGGCTGCCGCATCCAAAGAAATTGGATGTAACAAAGTTACATCTTGTGGCATAACTGCCCCAGCTGGATGAAGAAATCTAGCAGAGAGCGAAATATATTTTCAAAATAAATAATACAGAATAAATAGTCTAATGGTTATAAGGTCAGTTCTAATTCCTGATGGATGTAGGTTCGATCCCTACATAGTGAATAATATCAACCACTTGGAAGTGGACCTTGTCCTCGTATGGCAGGTGCTTAGCGCTAATGGGATCTGTAGTTAGGCGACGCCATCCTTACGGAATAGCTCAACCTCACCGGATAGAATCTCACGACTTGAACGTTAAGAAGGACAACATGAGAAGGTGATAGCATCCCGAAAGGGTTATCACTCCTGAGGAAAATTGCAAACATCCCTAGAGGGAGTTCACCAGGGGTTGAACCTGAAAATTGCCGAATTCCAACATGAACTCTTCCACTTAACCACTTAACCACTTAACCACTTTACACATACAGTGTAAGCGGTTACCGTACATCTGAACGTGTTAATCGTCACTCGCCACGAAAAGACTGCACTTCAAAACAGCCGGCGTAGCGAGGTGAAAGATTTCTATCATCACGGTATAGTAGAGTGGTTAGAATAGTATCATCACAGTTTTCGCGACTTCCTGGTCCGAGTTTAAGTCGGGACATGGTATTAGCATGCGTGGTACCGTCATTGTCGTATATTAGGTGATTGTGTGCGTTCTCATATCAGTGCTTTGTTTCAACCTCAGACATTTCACTTGAACTGACAACTAGGCTTTTGTAAAATAGAATGGATCGTAAGATGTGCCTTACAGTGGTATATTCATGAGGATGCTCAAAGCATATACCGCTCCTCTGTCACATCCTAGTAATAGTTGTGTTGTGTAACCGTCCCATTTTCTATCGGTCTAATCATCCGGCTACGTTGCGGCTCATCTTGCGCTACCTCGAGGAGAGTGAGGACCTCTCCGTTGCGACTATACTAGTTGCGTTCGTACAATTGTTGGTCATCGTTCGCGACTATTTTGGACTATATTTTTAATGACAGAGTAGGAAAATGTGCTTAGTTGGTACCGATTGTGGCGGCGAAAAATATTTTTCGGGGTAGGATTTGTGTTATGAATGACATGACGAGGACGGTAGTGAAGCTCCACTGCGCATTCAAATTGGGAGGGGACTCGACTGACGAGGAGATTCCCGAGGATCGTTTCATTGAGGCTGCGGTAGGGGCTGCCTGTAAGCGATTTCTCGGCGAGATAGGTAGTATAGTTGTATTAGGATTGTGTCCGTTTGTTACAGTGTGGGAGAATATGCATATGGTCAACTACGCGCATTGATGATAAAAATGAGGTTTTTATTGGTTTTGGTAAACTTCTACGCTAAGTAGTGTGTAAATTTTTATACTCTTTTCAGTTGAGGAAATATTCAGATCCATATTGCGACTCTGGGTATACATATATGTAATCAGGCTCAAAACGTCTCGAGTGGAGTATAGGAAGCGTTAGTGCCACTCCTGAGTCCGCAGCTGGGGATTTCGTAGTGTGTATCGAGGTTCGGGAGGCTGGGCGGAAGAGAACCAAGAGCAGATCGAATCGGTAGTGATGATTCCGATGGGGTTATTCGTTAGAGGACACGCCTCGCAGTAAGAATGAATTTCGTATGGGTCAAATTTAAGAAATATTTAATATTAGCAGGAAACCTCGTACTAGTGACTGAGGCTGTTTCTTGCCGTTGTTCATGCTCATGTTGTTTATCATAAACATTTTGTTGAGAACCGTCGTGAATTTGTTTTGTCTACGTATTCCAAAATATACTGTTTTCAATTCAGATCGACGGAGCGTTTGCGTCCCCATCAGCTGTTGTGGGCTTCCCTTACGGCGCTTCGGTCTATGGCCTCAAGACCATGTCGGGTATGTGTCGTTAAAGTGGAGGAAGGAGATGCTCAGGCGATGGAAGGCGGTGCTCCTTCGGGAGGATTGATGATGATCGATTAACGTAAATTGAGTTACTGTTCTCTAAGTTCTTTGGTTGGTCATTCGGAGGAGGTCGTCGGTCGGTAGTAATCCTGTGGGAGCGGATGGCGAATGTAGTGTTGGAGGAATATATGTTTGGTCTTCGCAGCTCACGAGTTTCCAAAACTACAGTAGGAAAATTCGCACACGAGTCGGGATATGTACCAACAGGAATTTTTGAAAATTCTATCGCTCTCTGGTTCGGAGATTGTTTGGTGATTCGTGCCCTTCTCCGCGTCGTTGGTAACTGTGTACTAGGCAGACTTGATTGATATGGCCGCCAGTGCGGGATGTTCGAGGTCGCACCAAGAAGTGGAAGAACATTTCCTTGTATTCAGAACATTGGGAAATGGAGCTTTTTGAAGAGCTCGAGAGAGGAAGGATCAGACCATCGGAAAAATCACTTTTACTATTATTAGTATATCCTGTTTACTCCGGTCAACATCTAAATGGCGAACAGTGTTGCTTCCCGAGCGGTGTTGGCTGCCAAGAACACAGTGATGGTTCGTGAGAGTATCGATAAGAAGGAGGACGAAGCCGTGAAGTATTGGAGTGAACGCAAGGAGAGTAAACAAATGTTGATCTAACTATAGTTGCCAATTGTCGGAATATGGATTACATATCTGGCATGTCGTTTAAGAATGAATTCCTCGAATAACGAGAGTTTGGCTTTGTATCACTTCCCGTTGAGATTTACTGCGGTACTGTTGAGATGACGAATAACTAGTGGGTTCGTCTTATTAGTTGTTATTTAGGCATCGAGAAGGAGATAGGTGACCTAAGCCGTCAAGCAGATGAGTATAGAAGAATGTTGGATGAGATTGACAAGAAAATCAGCCGCGGAATCGGACAGGGTTCCCAGGAGGCTGTTGTGGGAGAGAAACTCAATGTAGTAATGAATGCTACGGACGAGTTTTAGTAGATAATAGAAGTGGACTCTTGTCCTAATTCCTATGAACATCATATCTTATTAGTGAGTTTTATATCCGATATAGTCTAGCTGGTTAGGATACCTGGCTTTCACCCAGGCGACCCGGGTTCGAGTCCCGGTATCGGAACTTATTCCTCTATCTTTTTAGGAGTTTCCTGTTGATGTCGATACTGCGAAACCAGTCGAGTCACGAGAGCGCCTGGCCGCCCAACTGAGGTTACTCGAAGTCTTTGGCTCTTCTGAAGCTATAATCTGTGAGCAAGGAACCTGCAAGCTAAGTACTAATAGTGCACTAGGCTACCTCCACTTATGATGTTACGGAGACCCCGCGGTTTATTCCCTCATTTCAGAGCTGGTACCGCGTCACCACGCGCAGATCGAATCGACAGAGGGCTGGGCAGTCGGAGACTTTGATTTGACGACGTCTGTTGAGGATAATTGGAAGAAGCTTGCATCCATGTTGGGCGCCTGAATTAGCATTTATGCATAAAAATGTTGGATTTTGAGTTGGCCGACAATCGGCATATGTAGTGTATTTCAACTTGCTGCTGACGAGTTGTAATGCATAATAGAGAGCGCGAGATCGTATATACACCCCGTGTAACTGGTTTTGGCCTCTCTAGAGGCGAAAGCCATCACAAGAATCTAAAAGACACTGTCTGGGGAATCCGCAATTGCTTACAGTGAAATGTATCAGCCAAGTATTGACCCTGTAGATCACGGAATCGGCAGAGGCACCCGTGTAGTGCGACTCGGAGGCAATTCCGTTATTTCTAATAATGTGAGTAGGCCATGAGAGGCAGTTGAAGGAGACGGCATGATTCTCCTTTGTAGGTTTGAGACTACTCAGGGCCTAATTCTAATATGATGATGCAGACTATCGCGATGAGTCATGCAGCATTTGGAAAATCTCATCTCATCAAATGTAGCCCGGAACTCTCACACGCCACGGAAATCCATTAGTCGGGCCCTTTTCTGCTGCAGTGCTCCGCAACAGCATTTGGTCCCCTCAGTTATGCTCATGCTTCTGATACTAATAACTCAGTCTTTGTGTTGTCCCGAGTGGAAAATCATTAGTGTCTAGTGAATTTTGAGGACGGCACTATAATTCGACGCTAGTGAACAAAGCAACATACGGGATATAGGCAAGAATACGGCGGGCGCATTTGTCGAGGACGAGACATGTCTCCAAGCCTCAAGAACAGCTATTCCAGTGTCTCCTAGTAACCTTGCGACATCATATAGACAATTACGAGAGCTCTCCTATTTGAGCATCAATCACTGCACTCGGAAGTGAACCACTGCCGTTGTAAAGGCAACTACAGGTCGCTTCTGAATGCGTTGGTCACTGAATAAGAGCTTTCCTAGACTGTGAGTCCCATCTGAGTCCCCGATAGAGATGTACTCTCCCTATAAAAGGTCTCATAGCGGCTTCAATTGCTGGTAACTTTCCTTTCGTGTAATGGCTCGCTTCACTCAAAGCGCTGCTATGATGCTGGCTGTACTGTCAGTCAGCCTCGCCTTGCAATCCGCTAAACCCAGAACAAGGGTACAAGGGCATTTTCCGAGAGGCTCTCATTGAATCAATTCATTCAGGTTGAGACGAAAGTGCAAGCGTTGGAGGCCACTGTAGGTGGGTTGAAAGACCAGGTCGCCTCTTTGAATGACCAAGTCTCGGCTTTGTCCGTTCACACTCCTGAGGTCCGACGTCGTCGTCATGGTTGCTCACCCTGCTGGTAATTCGTCCCTTATAGATCCATGCTTCCGACTCACTCTGTACAAGCACCTCACGTAATGGTTTTTTCGGAGTGACTGCAGCCTATGGTGGTTCTTATATGGCTGAGTGGTCCGGTGAAGATGGAGTTGGGGATTCTATTTACGTTGAATGGTGAGGTCAATGGAACGTAGTCGTGTGAGCAATTTTTTGATAGGAAAAACAACGGCGGGACGGTAAGGGTTGACTGCTTTAACGGCACTACCAAAGTAAACAGCTCCGGAGAACTCAGAGGAGATCCTAGGGATCTCGAGGGGAGGCTCTCTGCTGTCCTTGGTGCTCGTGGTTTGTTCGATGCAATCAAGGCAAGTTTCGAGGAGGGGATGACGAAAGAGAAATGTCGAGATCTGGTTGGAGTAGCCCCGGGGTCAAGTAATGTCAATGAATTCTTATCAAGCAAAGTAAAGGCCGCTGAGAACCTCATAGCCCAAAGTGATACGAGCGCTTAGCGATGATCTGTGAGTGTTTATGTCATCATGAGCTGTTATGTTGGTGTTCGTTGAAGACGTTGTGGTGTTACGAGTTTGTGACGGCATCTAGATGCCTAGTGCGGTTTGTCTATGAGGCTAGGGAGTAAGACGGGCGGAGGAAAGGTCCGTACCGCTCGGTAGTCAGTTTCGTTGTCGAGAATCTTCAAAGCCTGTTCACTACATACACCGCTAACTTACCGCTGTTCTCGTTTGGATCACAACTACTCAATGATTTTGCGTAGCTAAACTGTGACGTTATTGCAATTGATTATTCGTGCCGACTTACCAAACAGTTTGGAAACCAGGTGGGAGTCAACATATACTCCAGCACTGAGTATTCCCAATATGCCCATAAACAGACCGATTGATCAGTTAATGAAGCCATCTGACTCCTCAGCTGAACCAGCTCAGCTGATGTTGTTATAACTCCAATACTTGAAGGTGTGAGCAACTCGAGACAACTGATATCTTATGACAGCACGAGCGAGCAGCTACCCGTATACCCTATTCGCTCATCGCGTGAGAAAGTAATGAAGCCCGGCGAGCCCCTAAGTAGGTAGGATTTCGGTAGCTCGTGCGGAGGATCATGCGCTCAGCGATACGAGGTGTAGCTGATGGTCAATACGGCTGTTCATCAGGGCTTGTGGCTCAACGGTAGAGCATCTGACTCCAGATCAGACGGTTGTCCGTTCGAATCGGGCCAAGCTCATTTTACTAGAATTTATAGTAGGTGTTACATGAGGACACCTCTTGTACATTGAACTACACCCTCTTCTAAGCTAGACCATCATGACCGTCCTGAATTATTCATAGATGTTTTTACCGCCACCACTTACGAAACACCAAACTCTCAAACTCACGAAACCGCAACCTCAGCGCACGTGTCGTCACTCTATCGTTTGCCAAGCTCACGTCGGATGGACCAATTGACAACTATACTCAAGCCAATGACTACAATAGGTAATGATAGCAGTACTACAAGTAGCAACAATAAATATGTCCCTGTCTGATGCCGCCTTTGACACACCAAATACACATTCCAAGCAATCTTATGTGGGTCAAAGTAGGCGAATGACAGCAGCCGTACTCGACATATAGAAATGATGCTATAAATAATAACGACAGAATAACCGTCTCGCGTATCCTATTAGTACATGCAAGCGGTTTTTAGAACCGAAATTGTTAAAAAGTTGAGCAAACCACTACTACGGGGGCTTCAACCGTCCTCAACTGACAGGAAGCACCACCTTAGTAACGCGGACAGGGGACGACGAGCACTAGGCGCCATTGAGATCAATACAACAACGATGCGCTACGCATCAGGAGCGCCTAGTTATGGCTACTCGAACGACCACTACAAGGAGTTCAGAAAGGAGTGGTATGCAGGAAGGAGACGATTTAGGAAAATAATGATTGCCATCGTTAAGATAATAATAAGTCACTGAGTATTGTCGGTGGTGACGAAATGTGCATGAGCAACAACAAGTAAGATGGATCAAAACGTCTGTAATACTACTACTATCTAATACGACCCATCCAATATTACACTTCCACACAGTGTCGGACGCTAATCTGACCAAATACCCGACATCATTCTTAGCGGAGCGATGCATTTGCTACTCACCTGTTGGGAAACCTTGTCATTGCATGTACAAAAAGAATGATGAAGATTGCCGATCGTTACAACGATACCTAGCAGGACGACATACCACCCAAGTTCGACAGTGTTGGAAAATTTCATATATTCGCTTTTCTCAGCTGAGCTCAGGAATTCCCAAAGATAACTATGCAAGAGAAGAATTCCCCAAAATTCCCTCCCAGAAATCTAATATTGTCATCACCAACACATGTGGTTGACCATGTGCATAGTTTTCCCCACCGGCATTTTACCATCCTCTCAACAGCCGCTGCAGTCCCCTCCCGAGTGATCCCAGCCGGCCTCTCCTCACCGCAGTCCACCACAGCTTGTGGCTGGACCGGACCACCGACATCATCATCACCTTCCTCCTCAGAGCCTTGAGGGAGACCAAAATCGGTCCGAGCTCGATCTTGTACCTGCACGTGGTGTGGTATCTTAGCCTATACCAAGCAAAGATTCAGAATAGGCCCGAATATGGTCACAAGAAGATATGAAGTGATTCTCTGCATAGTAAATTGGGTCGTAGAAAGACCTAGTAGAGTAACAAGAGCACGATGCAGTGTTGGAGTAGGAATATATGTTCGCTTTCTTCACCTAAGCTTGTGAATTTCCAAAGCTACATTAACAAATTCGATTAGAAGTGTACAGAAACCACCAAAACCTCCATATTGTCATCACCAACACATGTAGTTAACCACATGCATATTCCTCCTCCCACACCAACAAGGAAGCGGCCCGCCTCCCCATCCCACAACCCAGGTTCAAATCCCCCCTCCTACCGTTCTTCCCTCCACGCTCCTCTCTCTCGAAGGCCCTCTTGCTACGACCATAGGCCCACCGTTCGCCGACGAAGTTGCCGGCGATGATGACAACGTACAAAAGACTTTTCCCGGTACTCCTCCTCCGCCCACTCTAGCACCTCCGCATGACAACATTTTCTGCAGGAAATTCGGTTTTCTCAACTGCAGTTGTATCACACTCCTTCCTTTTTGTAGAGTAAGACACCCTTCAACCGGCTTAGGACCACTAGCCTTATAAGAAGTATTCAAATCTCTGAATATTCCCCCCGCCACTTCAATCCGCATCGGGTTTGGCGCCTCCACCAGAGTTCCAAATTTCGACTTCTGATCCTCAATGACAAAATACGGCCTTTTTCCACGGCCTCCCGGGATCAGCCGTATCAAAGCATGGCAGCGACTAACAGAAATATCGTTGATTCTCACATCAGCATCGTGGCCTCTCCCCACGCGTATGACGCTCCTAGGATTGCCTCCCAAGGACATGATATGCAAGCCCTTCCTCGGCACCTCCGCACTGCTCTGTTGTTGCTGGCCCGACCTCCTCGAGTGATGCTTTATTCGAGACTCCAAAATTATATACGGCGGCGCTGGCCTCGGTAGCTCATATAGATCCACTCGTCGCACTTTGCCACTTTCAACGGGGATCTCAACAACGCTAGGGTACGACGTTTTACACAACTCACAATCGAGACTGCGCCAAAAGTAGCTGTTCGCGAGCGGTCCGCCCTGTCGTCCACCTCCAGAGCTTCCACAAGGGTCTTCCCTGAGGCACAGTCGTCCGTCCATCCACTGCCTCAGGCAATTCAAATGAATAAATTTCATACTTCCTTTACACGTACAAGGCGCCACCAGAGGGTTCTCTTTCTCCCCGGGTTCATAACAAATACGGCAAACTTTTTCACTCAGCGGTAGAGCCTCTTCAGAATCATCATCAACATCCTTGAACTCAGTGCTAACCGTCAAAGCACTAGCCCTATCTTCACTAAAATCTCTGCCGCTTCGCTCCGCCTCATTTTCCCTCTCCCGAGCCTCCTCAGGAGTAGTCACAATTTCCTTCACTTTTATTTTGAATCTGCCAAGTTTCAATACATCCCCCTCGACAAGTGGTCTGCCAGAGCCTTTACTATGGCGTATCACCTCCCATAACTTCGACACTTTACGACTGCCCGTCCCACTAGAATCGCTACTGCTATCCTCACACTGCGGCTGTGGCCTCTCCACGAAATATTCACCATCATTTTCAAACAACCTCAAAATTTTTTTCGTTTTCGCCGCACTATGCTGTTCACCTATAACGCTTATTCCCGAGGACTCAAAGCCAGCTGCTACTGTTGCCGCACTCCCCATTGGTGATGTTACTTCTTCCTCTGCATCGCACATAGATGCTGGAATCATATCAATCTCGCAGTCCGTACGAGTGATCACAAAACCATTATCGCACATTTTTGCCCGATAGTTCCTCTTGTAAACACTCTTCGCTTCGTAGTCGTACAGGCCCCTGGAGTCGTGACTCCATGTAAACGTCCTTGCGATTACTTCTAGCTGGGCTGAGCTGTCGGAACCACGCGAACAGGAGGTAGTGATGATGGGATCTACGCGCTTTGTAGATCGACGACGTATTGTAGGCATTATGATTGGGCTTAACGCTACAATGGAGTTTCACCCTAGTGATATGAAAAACACATTTCAAAATTCACTTCACGATAAACAACAGGGCTCAGCTGGGGTACACATCCAGTCCTAGTTACTACTACTACTACTACTACTACTACTACTACTACAACTACTATTAGTCTACTACTACATTGCTATCATCGCAAAAAATCGATTTTGAAATTGATTTCTACGCCGCATTTTACGCAAAGCAAAAATTTACAATATCACATTATAGCAGTTGAAATCAACCCTAGGAGTTTTTCTAACTTTTCGGCCGACACCTAGCCATCTCAAAGAAAAATTTCCAAGAGGTAGACAGGAAATATGAAAATGCAATACATGAATCGCTTCGCTCCGCTAAAGAAAATCGTGGAATTTCGAGATAGCAAGATTGAGTTTGGATGGGTGCCGCGGTAGGACCCTAGGTGTGGGGTTGCGATAGGGACGATGACTTCGACATAGGTTAACGCGAGGCAGAGGAGTAGGAGGAAAGCCTGACGTTAGATGGCTACAGTTAGCGAACTATAGCTACCTCGTTAAGTAGTCATATTCTAAGTTCCACTATGTGGTGGTGGTGGTGGCTGCGTACCACTAGAGAAAGCGCGCGCCCTAAATCCTTACTCAATTGCGTAGTTGAAAATGCTTGTTGCTGGTTCACCTCCAGCTGGAGAGAAGGTCGCCTTTCCGCCTCAAAGCACTAGTCTCGATGCCGCCTCTAACAGTGGTGGTAAAACGGCCACCTCTGCCCCCTTCCAACCGCTACCCACAACTACTCCCGTACCATTCCCCAGCCACATCCAGCTGGAGGGTGCCACGGGGCCTCATGCTGATGAGATCAATGGTTGCTATGTGCTCAAAGCCTCCGCTAGTAAGGCTTTGGAGAAATGGAAATTCTGTTATTTCAAACACAAGTGCGATGATGTTGTTATGTGCTATGGTGAAGGCCTACCTGAACTAGGTCCCAACGAGGGTGCTGTTGGTTGGGTTGTTGGTAAGCTCAGTGATAGCATAGATATCTTGGCACGCTGCGTGCTAGGGAAGGAGAGGAACTCTGCTAACGGTTTCAAGTGGGAGCTCAAGACTATGAGTAATACGTTTACTCCGACTTACACGATGAGCGTTAAACCAGTGGTGGCAACAGCAGCAGCAGCCGCAGCAGCCGTCTGTTCTCAAGGAGAGGCCAGCGGGGGTGGAGGCGGCGGCTCGAGTCGTCGTAACAGAGAGAGAGCTGGCTCGGCTGCAGCTCATCAACGTATCGCGTTCGCTAGTATGTTGGCTAGTGCACAGGCTCAGCTACTGGCAGCTCAGAGTGGCGATGGACTCTTACCGGCACCTGCTGGTCCTATCAGTGATAACACCGATGACTCGAGTTTCCTCCCGGCTGAGCTCTCGAGGTCAAGTACTGCTCTTGGTAGCGATAGAAGGATCAGTTTCGCGGCTACTACAACTGACAATACCAAGTGAGCTACCGTTGTGGTTGATAATAATGGTATTTGTTATCTGTTCTCAGGCATTCTACTACGTTGTCTTCTAGGAGGATGTCAGCTGATGCTCCGGTGTTCATTCCAAGGCGTCATACTGTTCAGGGAGGGACTCCATTTGCTCCTGCCCTCACCACTACTGCCACTGCTAGACAAACGAATATCACCAAGCGGCGTTCGGTTTCTGCCATTGATGATCTGTTTAAGAACGCTGAAAGGCAACAAGGAATATTCGTTAATACTCGTGCTAGGAGGGTTACATGGAAACTCGGAGCTGTCAGTGAGAAGCTGAAGTCCGTGATTCCGGGGGAAGGGGTTCCTAGTATAACATTTAGACTCCCGAGAGATAATGGTGAACCTGGTCCTCCTATTCAACTGGAGTTCTATCCCTTTGGGGTGAAGGGCAAGTCCCCTCCAGGGTGTGTAGCAGTTGGTCTCGTCTGTCCCCAAGGAGCGTGTATGCGCTTTACTGTGAGTCTTGGTAAGGTGAACAGTGGGAAGAAAGTCCTCATGGGCAACAAATTCCATGTTGATTTCTATCCCTCAACTGGTCGGAATTCAGATGGCGGCACTGGTGACAGTGGGATTGTGCAGGCGTTCAAGTACTCGGAGATCAGTGTAACGCTGCAGCTCATTGACTGGATGGACGAACCGTATTGAAGTATCTTGAGGATGAGGCGGTAAGATTCAAAATAGGTTAAGTGACGACGTCTTATGGCGTGATGGAGAAGGACTTATTTGATATTCGATCGAGACTTTGTCCACGAGTAATACATAACGATTTCACTTATCTCTTCTTTCACACTAAAGCAATGATATCGTCCAGCGTACACGTTGCTCTTACTTACAACAACACTTGCGTTACTCGGAGTTGTGGTGAATAGAAAAGTATCAACCTTCACAACCTGCTGCTGGGTTTCCCTATAATGGAGAATCCAGTTTGCGATGCTGAGTCGATCAAATATGCTCACGGGACTCTTAAGAACAGCGGCACTGCTGGTACCCCTGATCTCAACACGAATCATCATCCTCCTCCACATTCGCCAGCGCTTGCTGGAGGCATTGATATTGCTCTGACTCATTCTATGGGGAAAGTACAGTGGTGGCTACTCGTAGCCCTCGTCTCGCCAGCAGTACAAGGGAGGCTCATCAATCAAATTTTGATCTAATCAAATCTATGTTACGTAATATTCCGAATAAGCTCACTCAAATTGACATCGCCAACGCCGTGAAGCACGAGGGTTTTTCTTGTTGATTTCGATTTCTTATATTCACCGATTGATTTCAAGTCTGTAAGCAGTTTGGGCTATGCTTTTACCAATTTCACTTCTCACGAAACTGCTATTAGGTTTCGATTGAAAATAGCAGGTGTATTATTAGCTCATACAGTTGCCAAAGCGAACTCATCTGGGCTGTGTCGGGATAACAAAAGTGGCTCGAGAGCTACTGTGATCACTCCGGGGGTGTCTGCACATTTTATGCGTTCTAACAAACAGTGTGGAGTAGCGTGGGCTCGCATCCAAGGGCTCGAGGCTAATATCGAGCACTATCGTGATAGTCCCGTTAATGAGAAGAATTCAGGCCTATGCTTTTTGCCTCTAAAGACTTGGTTGTGATCACTACTCCCTTTCCCATTGCCTGATCGTCGTCGTCGTCGTCGTGGTGGTGGTAACCGATTGGTGATTAATAATGCGGCGTCACCGCAGTCTGTCATACCACCGCGTGATGGTGTTAATACGTACAGGTTGGCTGAGAGGCAGGCTAGGAACAAAGTACTCGTTTATCTCGCGACACGACGAGTGCAAGCCTTGAGGCATATTTTACATTACGATTTCCCATGTTCAATCTCCGGGAAGCTGTGGTAATTACGGATCGTCGAACGCGAGTGAGTAAGTGTTTTGGGTTCACCACTTTTGCCACTAATGAGGCCGTTGAAACCGTCCTTCAACCTATCGACAATCCCCATGTTATTGATGGTCACCCGGTTGTTATGCGAAACTATACAAATAATCGATAATGATGATAGTCGTAGTAGTAGTAGTAGTAGTAGTAGTAGTAGTAGTAGTAGTAGTAGTAGTAGTAGTAAGATGTTGCCACATGTGTAGATTTCTTATCACGTTTTAAGGCTCTCGGTTGACATAGGGCAGGTAATCAGGATTCACTTGGTTTGAATACGATTCCTTTTAGATTACCATTTCTGCAATCTACACCCTTTCGTGGCTTTCCTATGTTGATGAGTGTTGTGTTAATAGTACTGAACACAATACAACAACCACAACCCCACTTCAATCGGAATTATCCACCTTAAAGACTTCCTCTTTACGGTATACAATGCTCAATATGACTGTGAGCATAAGTCTGATGAAGTGAAGGAGTGGTATGAACCACATCCTCCTTGTTGTGGATTTTACACGAAGTCTGACCAATAGATTATACGCGTCACGAACCACAGTGTAGGTGGCCTCCTACCACGCATTCCAACCGTACTACACCGTTTTCTGTACGTAAATCGGCATAGACTATTCTAGCATCGTGATGGTGATAATCGACATTATGTTTTTTTGCTCGTCGATTCGACATTAAAAACGTGCACCTGTGAGTCGTTGTTAAAAACTTCTCGATGACTTCAGACTTCAGACTGAGCTCCACTACTAATAATAGACTCAGGAGAATGGGAGGCGCACTGTACGACTATATCGTTTTAGTCCATCGTCTATGACTACTCACTCTGAGGATGATTGGGAGTCTAGTTTGCATTGTGTTGAGGTGCAGTCGACGGGAATGAGTGTAGGTGTGATAGCGACCTCTCTACACCACTAGCACGACTCAATTCTAGTACAGCGCAGAATAACTCTCAATGTAAAAATTGAATTATGTTCTCTCCGACACCGACTCGTGCAGGTCCAATAACACTTCTCCTCACTGAAAGCGTTGGAATGCTCAAAGATTAGTGCTTCCAGGTAGGTATGGGGAAAAGACCACAATAATACAACTGACCCGGATGTGAATAACAGGAAACGGCCATACGTCTCGATAGCATTCGTTATGTGTGCGTTAACGTGGCTCAGTTGAATTGCGACAAAATCCAATAACATCTCTTCCACCTCCATGAAATACTCGACAACATTCTCTATACCTCGTCATCTCGTTGCGAAAGACTTTTACTGTTCTCCCAATACACTCGTGACCATACTATGAATTGGTCGTGGTATTGGTTGAAACTGACCACCGAAGTTGTCGATGGATTCGCTTAGTTCTTCTTGGAAGGGGATACTGGAATTAGCCCACAAACATCACTAAAGTATCAAATCAACAACTCTGGTGATATTGTAACCTTGCGACAGGTAGACCCTAAATGCAGAGATGTCAATAGCCTTTACTATAAGCAAGGGTCTCCAAAGAGAGCCCTAGATTTCGCAATTGCCACTTTTCGCCAACTTTGTGATCACTCTTTATCCTCGCGCACAGAAATGTGTCGAACAAGGGCCGACTGAGAGTTTTGGAGTGCTACCCTTTCCATGGCTCGTTAGCCATGTGCACCCAAACCTAGAGTTTTCTCTTCGTTCCACTCAGAATACAGAGAGCACTGATGTCAGACTCGCTATGATTCGGGATAGTTAACGCGACCATATATTCACTCATACAAGAGTCTTAACCACTCAAGCAAACTCACAACCAAAGGCTTTCTCCATCACAGAAATGTACATATGATAGCAAATGAAAATCCACGTTACAATGGTGTTACCCACAATGGTCTCGCACGAGAGCAGTTGGGTAGAAAGGCCAAATGATAATACGCCTTCCGCCAGTCATCCACAAAATCACGTCCACGCGGGAAGTTGCGTACCATCACAGATTATTATCGTGGCGCACCTAGTAAGGCCTCATGCACCTGGTTGTCGTGTGGTCTCAGCAGAGGCAGCATCATCAACGGTATCAGGCTCGCACAAGTACAGGTGACGATAGATAGAGAGATGTTGTGGTACTCATTATCCTCACCGGGGTTGCCGCATAGTTTCAACACAAGTATCGACCAGTAGGCCGAGAAATACCCCCCTAGTGAATTGAATGCCATGAGTGCGGCGAACATGAAGGCCTCAGCCTCGCGAGCTCTACTCGCTGTTACTCCCGCGAGAACTAATACTGGCATTAACGCGATAGAGTTACACGTCGCTACGATGACAATGTCAACCGCAACGAAAACACCATCTGGAATCGCTAGTGGTCTGTTCACATGCCAGATCACCCCAACGCGCGTCAGACCAGCAGATGCTGCTATGAATGTAGACGCGATGAAGACCTTCCGTAACGGAGATTCTCGTAAGAGCCACCAGTAGAGGCTTGTGCCAAGAAGACTCCCGATAGTGTAGTTCATATTTAGAAAGTTGAGCACGGTCTGATTATACGAAAATGTGGTATATAAGTAGCTGGTATACACATCGTTCGTATTCGGCATCATCGCGAAAATGAAAATAAAACAACATGGTTTTACTAACGGTCTCAAAATATCGACGATTTCCGAAGCACGGAAAGCACAGCAATGAGAGGCACTCTGGAAAGTTATTTCTTCATGTGTTTCCACGTCGTTTCTGTGAACAACGACCACCAACACCGAGCACAGCGGGATGACGCTAGTGATAGCGATAACCGTCCGATGGTACAAAACGGCTCCCAAACCAGAAGCGACGAAACTGATGAGGAAAGTGCCAAGTGTGCGACAGAGCATTCCAGCACTTTGAATGTCCGAGGCAGCCTTCGAGTAATTCTCTTCCTCCTCTGTGGCAAATCGAGTCATTTCTCTCGCCCTCACTCGAGACCTTTGGACGGCTACGGCGTCCAGACAAGATTCGGAAAAGGCAAATACAACGTTGATTAAAGTCGCGACTAGATAGGCGCGTGGTAGCGTCACCACCCAGATTGCGTAGGTCACGTATAAGGCAGACATAGCAATATAGCAAGCAATCATATAGGCGATTCTACGTGTTCCACATATGGGGAAATTGTCAGATATGAAACCATAGAAAAATCGAAAGTAAAATGGGATGAACGTATTAGCATAAAAAAGTGCCAAGGCAATGTTATCACTGGCGAGACCAAGATCATCTCGCAGTAGAATGCCTATCGCCACCATCGGGAGAGCTTGAGTAAAGGAGGAAAGGACGTACAGAGACATCAGAGCTCGTTGATTGGATATCACCAACCATCGATCACATAAACCCGACAGAAGTAGTGACATTAATGATCATTAACAACACTGGAGAATTCGATACCACTAAAAAGTTCGTCACTGTAGTAAAGTAGAGAAACATATATTTACTTTTTTCACCTGAGTTTAGGAGTTTATCCATAATATGAGTGTATTTACGAACTCAGGAGAGAATATACAGAAACCAACAACAAGAATTTCCTCAGAATTTCCTCATTGCCAGAAACACATGTAGTTGACCATGTGCATATTTTTTACAAGTTTTTCTCGTATTTTATCGTAAGAGAGGTGACGAGAGAGGTGAAAAATCTATTTTACCACTACTGCATATCACCGCAAATTTCGCGTTTTTTACCGGAGTCACGTAAAACAGGTGAAACTCCAGTGAGCTGTCGCAAATCAACTTCGCGAATAGCCTCCAAGGGACGTCGTTATATAATCCTAATACGAAGTCAAGTTCCCGATTGTCAAACTATCATCCTGCCATAACCTCAGTGATAACAAACGTAACACCACCCAACAGCTACTAGAAACTACTCATGAAAAATTCATTTTTTTCATACGCCCGAGCCCAGTTTTTTCGCCTCGATTTTCAGCGTTTTCAACTGCTTTTTCTGCGCATCATTTAAATGTGATTTTTGCGCAGAATTCATCCTAGCGCCTTTAACGATATCTTGACTGGATATAGTAGAGTAATAATTCTCCCATTGCGTAACGAACTGTTTCAACTGGAGGACAGTACACGCTTGTGGCTCCTGACAATAACGAAGTCTCACCCTAGTGATATGATGAAAAACACTAGTGAAAAATGTATTTTACAACTACTGCATATCACCGCGAATATTGCGTTTTTCACGCCACTTCACGTAAAACGGGTGAAACTCCATTGGAAAATCATTCGTAATCATTGAGTACTTCGGGTGAAATCAATACCACTTATAATAGAGTTTCACCCGTTCAACGTGAAGTGGTGTGATACTCCATGTGAATATCTTCGGTAACCATTTTATCCGCAAAGTGAAAAGTGAAATATATTTCTCCCTAGTGTTTTTCATATCACTAGGGTGAAACTCCAATATTATCTAAAAGTATGAAATTATTATAACTGATTTACTTCTCCTACCAACACTCCGTTGAAAATCGCATCACAATAACAAGCTGTTACCAAACTTGGAAACGACCAAGATCTCGGCAACTACTACAATGGAGTTTCACGACCCGTTTTACGTAAAGTGGCGTAAAACTCGGCGGGGAAAAACGCGATATTCGCGGACTCCTGTAGTAGTGATAGTGTTTTTCATATCACTATTGGGTGAAATTCCATTTATGAGTAGCGAATAGAATATGCACATTCTTAACTACATGTTGACAATTTCGGCAAATTCTCAGTAGTTTCTGAGCACTTCTACTACCCGAATTCGTATATAAACTCCCGAGAGCTCTTCTATTCCTTCACCACCACTTCAAGACGCTTGCGCAGAATCGAGTAGGGCAATTCGCAAACCATGAAACCTCACCAAGTGTATCCTAAACTCTTTCTTCACATAAGCGTCGCCGAGATTCCTCATAACAACAGGCAATTTGTTGCGATGTAATCTGAGGATCTGCCGGTACAGCTCCAACGACTGCTGTCGTAACACCTTCGCCGTCGTCATTTGTATTATAGGAAAAAACAGTGTGGGAGTATATGTCTGGTTTTCCTCAACTGAGCTCGTAAATTTCATAGCTATATTATGAAAAATTCGCTCGATTTTGGGTAGAAGTGTACGAAAATCAACGATAATTTCCCAAAAAAACTTCCTCAAAATTTCCATATCCCCAGCAACACAGCTGACCATGTGCATATATTCGAAACACTGAAAAAAAAACTATCAAGGCTAAAGAATTTTGAGTAAAAATATAAACAACATCAACATAGAAATTCTGGGGGAAATCTTGCAAAATTATTGTTGATTTTTATACACTTCATTTTGCATATAAACTCCTATAATATAGCTTTGGAAACTCCTGAGCTCAGCTGAGGAAAGCGAACATATAATGGAGTTTCACGACCCGTTTTACGCGAAGTGGCGTAAAACTCTATGAAAAACGCGATATTCGCGGTGATATGAAGTAGTCGTGAAATATATTTTTCACTTGTGTTTTTCATATCACTAGGGTAAAATTCCATTCCTACTCCAACACTGTTTCATTGTAACCGACCGAACTCACAGCAATTGATACAAACAGCAGACTCCGAATTTCCCATGTTATTGCTGCAGAGTGTTGGAGTAGGAATATATATTTGCTTTCCTCAGCTCAGGAATTTCCAAAACTATATTATGAAAATTCACACACGACTAGGGGTAGAAGTGTACAAAAAACCAACAAAAATTTCCATATTGTCATCACCAACACATGTAGTTGACCATGTGGAAATTGCCTGTCGATGAATCCTCGTCTACTCCCACACACCATCTATTCTTCACACTCACAAAAAAACACTGAAAATGTACGCTTCGCTCCGCTAAAACGCAAGAATGAGTGATGGAAAATGAGAGGAAACCAGGACGGCAATTTTTCATATATTATTCGGTGACTGGTGACGGGATGTGATAAATATCGAGGAAATACTCAAGTACCTGTTATCACACCATCTTCAAATATTAGTAAAAAATCAAGTTTCACCCGTTATATATTCAACTTCGCGTAAAACGCATGTGAGCGGTGAATAACGCGTAAAACGTGTGATATCAAGTGATCTGCCCGGTGTACGAGTATTTTTAATTCACTTTATATCGCTATGGTATCATACCACTCCTCGTGAAACTCTAATACTAACTACTATAAAAACGAATAACTATAATTACTCAATTGTTAAAGTTCACCCGTTTTACGCGAAGTGGCGTAAAACTCCATGTGAAAAACGCGATATCACGTGTTTTCCAAATACACGTTATCCACTATTCCCATGCCTTTTCTGCTGAGGCGCGCCTTGATTAAATTAAACTCCTAAACTTTCAAATAAACCGGGTATAATATTAATTTTCTTGGTATTTTATTAAAGCCATGGGTAAAACGTTAATTAAAAACGTAAAACATCAACCAAATGGGTGAAAAATTAAATTTGTCGGTAAAAAATTAATTCGACAGGCTGCAAACAGCATGGAAATATATGTTTGGTTTCCTCAAATGAGCTCGTAGGTTTCCTCACTATTTTATGAAAAATCACACGATTTTTGGTATAGGTATACAAAAATCAACGATAGTTGTTCAAAATTTCCTCAAAATTTCCGTATTCCTAGCAACACATGTAGTTGACCATGCGCATATATTCCCACACTGCCTGCAAATGCTGTAGTCTTTTTCATATCACCAGGGTGGTGAAACTCCATTATAATTAATACTCAATAAAAGCGATCCGAATCTCCCCCGAACTCACCGATGTTTGCCCATTATCCGAAAACAACGGTTGTTTCTTCTCCCTCATCATATCGTGTGCTCTTGCCAATGGTGTTACCAGTTCTTGTATGAGTAACACTTTGTTTTTGCCAGGTAAAACGTCGCGGTGCCTTCATACGAATAAACATCAACCCTAGTGATATGAATAGCACCAGTGAAAAATATATTTCACGACTACTGCATATCACCGCGAATATCGCGTTTTTCACGCCACTTCACGTAAAACGGGTGAAACTCCATTACTGTTTTTTCAAAAAACCAACTTTAGAGAATTTGTCTCTTTTCGTAAACCCCACCTGGAAATATCTAAAATTCCATTTTGGTAGGAAATGTAAAGCTGTCGTAACCACTCCAAAAGAATCGCTGAAAACAAACAAAATACAATTGATGACGATCAGTGCAGTTGAACTTTAGAACGATCGAACACAGTTTAGGTTTACTTTCCTCAGCTACATAGTACAAGTTTACATACGAATTCGGGTAGAAATTTACAAAAACCAACAAGAATTCCCCAAAAATTTTCACATGTGCATATTTTTCTCCGCACACTGTTGAGGGAAAAAACTACGAATTTTTACCATCATCAAAATTATTTTTCGAGAAGTAGTATCATCGCCTTTTCACCTTTCGAACGCTCAGCTCGTCGTAGCGCTTCGGGAGTTCGGGGTCGCCTTAGAAGTTCCTGATGTTAAGAAATCAAATTTACCACAAAAATGTGGAAAAATATGGAAATTCCGGGAAAAAGTGTAGGAAAATATGAAAATTGTGGAAAAAAATGTTGGAAAATATGAAAATTCTGGAAGAAAGTGTAAAAAAATGAAAATTCTGAAAAAAAAATCAGAAAAATATTGTTGGTTTTAGTAAACTTCTATTCCAAGTCGTGTGTGAAGTGATATAATATAGTTTTGGAAACTCCCGAGGAGAGGAAAGCAAATATATATTCCTACTCCAACACTGATTAGGAATGAGAAAATATGCACATGGTCAACCACATGTGTTGGTGATAATATTAAAAATTATGAGGAAATTTAGGAAAATTCTCAACACTTCTTCCCGAATTCGTATATAAACCTTTATAATCAATTTGGAAAAGCTTCAACTCAGCTGAGGAAAGCAAACATAAATTTTCTCCAACACTGATTAAAATTTTTTGGAAAAAAATATTTTTTTTACCTCATACCACTCTTGTAGATTTGGTTGATGAATGATATTATCCTTTTCCAACGTCTCGATAGCATCAAGAACCTCCGCACTGTAGTACTTGGACACCAGGGGAACTGAAAGAATATAAAAAATTGTTGGAAATTTTTTTACGAAGAAAATAGTGACAATTTCTGTTGATCACACAAATACATTGGAGTTTCACCCGTTTAACGTGAAGTGGCGTGATATTGGAGTTTCACCACCCTAGTGATATGAAAATCACTAGTGAAAAACATATTCCACGACTACTGCATATCACCGCGTTGAATATCGCGTTTTCACCGAGTTTTACGACGCCACTCCACGTAAAACAGGTCGTGAAACTCCATTGTATGTGAATAATAAGAACGTATATGTTTCCGCGACAACCGATAATACAATTTCGTGAATCTTGAAAAGTGTTTTTCATATCACTAGGCTGAAACTCCATTAAATTCAGAATAAACCCCGGAATTCTTTTTTTCTCGTAACTTTTTGCGGTCCCATAATTTTTCAACACCTCTTCGTTGAAAAGGTGATGAAAACTTCAATTTCGCGTTCCTCAGCTACTGAGCTCAGGAGTTTCCAAAACTACACTATAGGATTTTATATACGAATTCGGGTAGAAATGTACAAAAATGATATTGTCATCACCAACACATTTGCAAATTTTCCCATTTAACCTGCTGAAAGCCTCCATTTCCTGTTTCCTCATCGTCTGTGTTATCCAAGCTTCATTATACCAGACTGCGAGTAGTAGAGATAACAATGTGAAGATTGCGGTGAAACTCAAATTTGAAGTCATTTAGTTGCCCACATAAGGAGGTCCCTGGTAAATTGCCCATTCGATTCCTGGTCGCCGCATTTTTTCCGACATTTCTCTCTCGATTATTTTATATTTTTCCCTGAGTGTATTCGAGTGTTAATTCCTGAGGGCAAATAGGAAGCAGATGATTTCCGAATAAGAAGGAATTGACACATTTATTTCCCCATAGTTTTTTTTTCAAATTTAATGAATATAGTAATATATACGTATATGATTATATATAAATGATAATATACGTATAAGTAAACAACACTGGTGGTGTAGGAATATGTGTTCGCTTTCCTCATATCTATTCGTGTAGTAGAATTTTCAGACGATTATATTATCGATTTATTCTCCTCACAATTGAAGAACGAACGATTATGTCGGGGTGAAAATATCCGTGTGACTTTTTTCCCCAGAAAAACGTTCATTTCCTCGCGATCTCTGTATCTTCACTGCCTCCTACCCGTCGTAGGAGGATCAGCATAAAAAAGCATAAAAACGTATTTTGGCAAATTAGAAGGAATGCAAGGTAATATATGTGCAGTGTTGGAGTAGGAATATATAATCTCCTCAGCTCGGGGAGTTTCTAAAACTACATTATGGAGTTTCACCCTAGTGATATGATGAAAAAACACTAGTGAAAAATATATTTCACGACTACTGCATATCACCGCAAATATCGGCCTTTTCACGACGTAAAACGGGTCGTGAAACTCCAATAATTTTCACACAAGTGGGAGTAGAAGTGTAGGAAAACCAACAATAATTTTCTCAAAATTTTTTCCTTTTTTCATCAACACGTGTAGTTGTCCATGTGCGTATTTTCTGCACTGAGTAAATACTAACACGGTTAACTACGGGACAATGTGAAAATTCTGGGAAAATTATTGTGAGTTTTTGTTGTACACTTCTACTCCAACTCGTGTGTGAATTTTCATAATTAGTTTCGGAAACTCCTGAGCTGAGGAAAGCAAACATATATTCCTACTCTAACACTCCGCAACAATTACATGCGTTGGTGACAATATTAAAAAAATGGGAAAATTTAGGGAAATTTTTTGTTATTTTCTGAGCATTCCTATACAAATTCGTGTGTAAATTTTCACAATGTGATATGCAGATGAAAAAAGGGCGCGCAAATTTCCGAGATTGATGAAAATCGTTAATAACAACAGTATAAGCGTTGCTATGAACATTTGATGTTCTAATGGTAACCTTTCGAGACTATGATAGCGACAAGTTGTTCACTATCAATAATCTCGGAATAGAAAATGCATATTATCTACATTGGTACAGATTGCATCTCTGGAAACTCCTTAGCTGAGGAAAGCGAACATATATTACTACATTTTAGGGGGGATTTCCACTCCTGAGCCGCCATTACCGAAACCTACCGGGGATGGTGACACGAGTGTTGAGAGTGGCAGTAGTGTCACCGCTGAGTCACCCTCCTCCTCCTCGCTGGGGCCTGTGGAGATTATCCGGGCTGAATTTACTAAGGGCAATCGTCCAGTGATAGGATCACCAATCTGGCCGTATGTGTTGGTGCGAGAGGTAGGCATAACCGAGAGGCAGACTTTTACTATTGTGTCGGGGGAAAATGTGTAGTGGATGATAATATTGGAGTTTGTATTACTACCAAACGTATATGGTCAGTAACACACATCTAGGTGTATGCATATGGTGTTGGTGATGACAATATGAAAATTCTGGGAGGAAATTCTCATTAGTGGTTTTGAATGTCTGTAGTCTTGTGTAAATTCCCCTTGTTTTTTTGCGGCTCTGGAGTTTCCAATATCAGTTGATGAATTGTAGGATTTTGTCCAATACCGCTCTCAGGAAAAATTTAGAAAAATTCCGAAAAAATTGGTGTGAGAATTCAGGAGAAATCATGCTCAGGAGTAACACTTCAATGGAGTTTCACCCTAGTGATATGAAAAACACTAGTGAAAAATATATTTCACGACTACTGCATATCACCGCGAATATCGCGTTTTTCACGCCACTTCACGTAAAACGGGTCG